GCCCCCTTCCTCCTCCTTAAATAGGGCCTTGCCATTACCCAGGCTGGTCTAGAACTCTCAACCCCGCCTCAGCCTCCACAGCAGCCAGGAATATAGGCATGTAACACCATGCTTGTCTGCTTCTTTCCATTTTGAAAACATCTGTTGGGGTCAAAGCCATTGGCCCCTATTCAGGATATATAGAGGAACTCAGGTTGTTTTTTAGAATGAAAAAAAAAAAAGTACTCGTCGACAGGTACGAGGGTTTCCTTGCACGGGGAGACCACGGCAGGTGTGAAGAGCCTGGCAGGGCAGCGGTGAGGCATTGAGCCTGGTGGAGATGGTGGACCCTGCTGATTGGCTCGTTCCCACAAAGGCCTTCTTGGTCAACTCACCACAGGCTGTGTTCCCCTCCCATCACCACATCTCAGCTTGAGGGGAGAGCTTGGCCCTGCTTTTATTTCCCTGGTGCTAAGGCAAGAAGTAAACCTGATGCACTGGGTTGTTTTTCCGGATGTTCTCGTGACAAGAGGAAAATTATGTGGCCATTACCTTGTTCCAAAAAGCAGGAATTTGCCCAGAGCCTGAAGTGCTTCTGCTTCAGGCTGTTTGCATCCACGTGAATGGTTAGGGGTCCCGATCCCCCCTGTGAATGTACGGCCTGCAGTCTGTGACCTTCTCAGGGTCTTAGGGCAGAGGCATCTGCAGAGCTGGACCCTGAGTCAGGATCTGACTGGAGCTGGGAGGACCTCACTCTGCAAGAGACCTGTCTGAGCCCACCCTCTCTTCTCCCAACTGGGTCACCTCCTCTCCCTCCGCCTCAAGCCTTGTCTTCCTTGGACAGTGAGCCAAACAGACTGCTTTGTGAGTCTCTGGCTGCCCACTGCCTCCCAGGAGAAGTTGAGGACCAGGACCATCTCCAACTGCCCAAACCCAGAGTGGAATGAGACCTTCAGCTTCCAGATCCAGAGCCAAGTGAAGGTGAGCACTCTGCATCTGCTTGCTGCCCGTGTGTCTCTACTCCCTCTTGCCTGCTTGTCCCTTGCTTTCTTGTGAGTCCTTCTTCTGCCCATTTGTTTTTCTTTCTACCTACTTCTTGCCCTACCGGCCTGTCTCCCTCCTCATCCATGACTTCCATGACAAGCCATGTGTGCTCCCTCTGCAGACAGCCATGGAACAGCGTCCATTTTGTCCATGGACGAATAGGCCTAGCAGTCTATCCTACCTTTTTTCTGGTATCTCTCACCCTTCTGTGTAATTTGCTGGCTCTGGGTCTCTTATCCCAGAGCAGATTGTGTTTCCAGTACCTTCCAGAGCTGTTCAAGAAGGAGAATCATGGAAGGGAAGAGCCATTCTATTAGCCAAGATTATTCTATTCACCACTGCAGGTCTAAGGTCAATCTAATTCTGGTCAGAGGGTTTTTTCTCTCTTAAGTCTTTTTCTGATTGTGTTACTTTTTCTGTTCCCTTGGGTGTATGTTTGTTTGTTGAGTTGTTGTTACATGGTTCTGGTCCTCTTCAGATATATGGTGACCCTAAATTCACATCTCCTGAGGGAGAATTCTCTGTTGAGCTTCCCAAGGTGTGACAGTTTCGGAAGAGCACCCTTAAAACAAAACAGGCCTGGGGTCAGGGATTTAGCTCAGTGATGCTGCTGCCTGCCTCGCAAGCACAAGGTCCCAAGTTCAATCCCCGGTACCAAAAACAAAACAAAAAAAATGAATCAGGCCTCATGGCAGAGGCATCGAACCCAGTATTCAGGCACTCGAAACTTCACAGCTCCAGATTACTATGTCCTTTTAAAAAAAAAATTAGTATGTATTTACATATATAATGTTTATATTTCTTACATGGAGTTGGTACATGTTTGTAACACATCTTAATTCCTCCCTCTCCATCTCTTGATCCCCTACCCTTTGAGATAGCTCTGTTTCCTATTATTTTTTATTTTGCTCTTTATTTAAAATTTGAGTTTCTCACATAAGAGAAATCACGCGCTTATAAGCTTATGTGTCTGATTTATTTCACTTAACATTATGGCCTCAAGGTGCGTCCATTTTCCTATGAATGACTCAAGTTTGTCTCTCCTGTGGCAGGATAGTGCTCCTCTGTGTGTAAATACCACATTGTCTGTATTCACTCATCTGTGGATGGACATAGAGGCTGCTTCCAAGGTTTAGCTGTCATGAATTGTGCTGCTGTAAAAATGGGTATGCGTGTATCACTGTGAGACGATGTCTTTAATTCTTTTGGAAGGATATCTAGAAGGGGAATAGCTGGGTTAAATAGAATTTCTAGATTTAGATTTTTGAGAAATCTCCATACTGATTTCCATAGTTGTACTAGTTTACATTCCCACCAATAATGAACAAGGGTTCCTCTCCCCGCACCCCATAACTTCACCAGCATTTATTATTTGATTCTTTGGTGATGGACATTCTGACAGTCTTCCTGAGATAAGATAGAATCTCAGTGTTGTTTTAATTTGCTTTTCTCCAGTAGCCAGTGACGTTGAGCGTTTCTTCGTGTATGTACTAGCCGTTTGTACTTCTTCCTCGAACTGTCTCCTCCATTCACTTGCCCATTTTTTATTAGGTCTTTTATTCTGGGGAGTCTACTTTTCCTTAGCTTTTTATATATTTTAGATATTAATCCTCTGTCCGAGGAATGCCTGGCAAAAATTTTTTTTTCCATACTACAGGTAGTGTTTTCACTCTATTGGTTGTTTCTTTTGCCGTGTTTTTTTCTTTTCCTCCCAGTACCAGGGTTCAAATTTAGGACCTTGCACTTGTCGGCAGGCATGGCACCACTGAGCCTTGTGTGTAAGCTCTTCAGTTTGATATGATCCCATTTTTAATTTTTGGTATTATTTCCTAGGCAATTAGAGTTTGTTCAGAGAGTTCTTGCCTATGTCTGACTTCAAGACTTTTTCTTATTTTATTGTCCAGCAGGCTAAGGGTTTCTGCCTTAGTCCTTTGATCCATTTTGATTTTAAGTTAGTGCATGGTGAGAGACATAGGTCTAGAGAGAGGTCTAGAGATATAGGTCTTCTGCATGTGGGTAGCCAGTTCTTCCAATACCATTTATTAAAGAGGCTATTTTGGGCTAGTGATTTAGCTCAGTGGCTCCACTGCCTGCCTCACAAGCACAAGGTCCTGAGTTCAATCCCTGATACGGAAACAAAAAACAAAAAAAAAAAAAAATAAAAGGAAAAAAAAAAAAAAAAAAAAAAAAAAGAAGAAGAAGAAAGAAAGAAAAAGGCTATCTTTCTTCCAGTATATGCTTTTGGCCCCTTTGCTTTTGGCATTCTGATTGGGATTACATAAAGCTGTATATAGGTTTTAGAAGTATGGCCATTTTGACTATATTAGTTCTTCCTATCCAGGAAAAGGGGGTAGCTTTCCATTTTCTGATGTCCTCTTTGATTTCTTATTTCAGGGTGTTGCAGTTTTTGGTATAGAGGTTTTTCACTTCCTTAGGTTAATTCCTGTGCATTTATTTTTTCTTGGTGAAAAGATATTGTGAATGATATTTTTCCCTAATTTCTTTCTCAGTGAGTTCATCATTAATGTACAGGAATGCTACAGATTTTTGTGGGTTGATTTTGTATCTTGCTACATTCCTGAATTTGATTAATAATTCTAAAAGTTTTTTGTTCTTTGTTTTTTTAGACAGGGTCTCACTATGTAGCCAAAGCTAGCCCTTGAATTTACTATGTAGCTCAGTCTCACCTCAAACTTGTGGTGGCCTTCTTGTCTCAGCCTCCCAAGTTCTGGGATTACAGGTGTGTGCCAATATGTCTAACTATAATCTAAGAGTCTTTTGGTGGACTTCTTGGGAGGGTTTCTATCTAGAGGATCATGTCATCTGCATATAATGATAATTTGACTTCTTTTTCTTTTGGGGGGTGGGGTTGAGACAGGGTCTTGCTCTAGCTTTGAACTCACTATGTGGCCCAGGCTGGCCTTGAACTCACAGCAATCCTCCTGCCTCAGCCTCCTGAGTGCTTGGATTGCAGGTGTGTTCCACCACCCCTGGCTCTTTTCTTTTTCTTTCCTTTTTTTTTTTTTTTTTGTACAGGGAATTGAACTCAGGGCCTCATGATTGCCAGGCAGGCACTGTGCCAAGGAGCTACATTTCTGGTCCTTCTTGCCTAATTGCTCTCACTAATTTTTAGAAGACTATATTGAACAGGAGTAATGATAGTGGACATCCTTTTCCTGTTCCTGATTTTAGAGGGAAAGCTTTCAGCTTTTCCCCATTTAATATGATGGTGTCAGTAGGTTTGTCATAAATGGCTTTTATCAGATTGAGGAAAGGCCCCTGTATATCTAATTTCTTCAGGGTTTATTTTTCATGAATGGGTGTTGGATTTTGTAAAAGGCTTTTTCCTGTGTCTATTAAGATGATCATGTGATTTTTGGCCTTGCTTCTGTTTATGTGCTGCATTTCATGTATTGATTTGCATGTGCTGAACCATCCTTACCTCCCTGAAATGAAGCCTATTTGTTCATGATGTATGGTCTTTTGGATGATTTATTGTGTTCTGTTTTCCAGTATCTTGTTGAGGATTTTTTCATCTATATTTCTTAAAGATGTTGGTTTATAATTCTCTATTTTGGTTGGATCTTTGTCTGGTTTTAGAATCAAGGTAAAGGTAGCTTGCGGGGATGACTTTGAGAGTACTCCTTGCCTTTTAATTTCACCAAAAAGCTTGGGAAATATTGGTGTTAGAACTTTCCTGAAATTTTTGTAGAACTCAGCTGTGAATCCACCTCAACCTGTGCTCTTCTGAGTTGCTAGATGTTTTATTACTGCTTTGATTTCATTGCTTGTTATTGGATTATTCAGGGTCTTTAAATCTTGGTTCAATTTTGGTAATTCATAGCTAGGAATTTATCCATTTCACATTTTTAAAGGATGTTTTTCCATTGCTAGGTTATGAAGAGTTTTTTTCTGTTTTGTTTTCAAGAATGTCTTCATAGTTTCTACTTTAAAATGACTTTTCTATTATATATATATGAGTTTAGTGATGAGGAAGATTTTCATGTATGCTGTCTTTCTTCTTGAAATCAGATCTTGGGTTCCTCTGTCTTGAGGATTATTGGGATATTGGGATGGCTCTAGAACATACTACCATTTCTAGTAATTACAAGGTAAACAGACCTCATCTGGTTGGGATGCACCAGAACAATACTTAAGTCCATTAGATGGCGATCTAAGAGGCAATCTAGCTCAACCCACGTGTCTCAGGATCCTAGGAAGAGGAGGCCTCCAAGACTAGTGCAGGTGTCCTGAGACCACTGCGTCCAACTACTTGACAGGGTAGGTGCTGACTCTTATTTAGCAGCTGCTTTGGGGCCATCCATGTGACTTTATCAGGGGCTGAAGAACCAAAGAATGGAGTTCACACACCTTATCCCAACCCCACCAGTTGTGGGTCCCCCATTCCTCAGACCTACATCCTTGCCAGGGCTCAGGTCAGTCCTGGAAGTAGGTCGGTGTAACCATGACGCCCAGACCCGCACCCTCTTTTCTCCCCTAGAACGTCCTAGAGCTGAGTGTCTGCGATGAAGACGCAATAACACCCAACGACCATCTCTTGATAGTTCTCTATGACCTCTCCAAGCTCTGCTTCCGGAAGAAAGTCCATGTGAAGTTCCCACTCAACCCAGAGGTAGGCACAGGAGCCTGGGCCCACAGCCCCCTGCCTCTCGAGGGGCAGTGGATTATTCCCACATTGCCATCGCGTGAGTTTCTCCCCATAAATACACAGCCAAGTCAGGAAAAGATGGTAGTGCCATTCAAATCCCAGCACTCTGTGTTACTAGCCACGTGATGGAGGCTAGGAAGATGGCTTTCACTTCTCATCTGTGCAGTGATGACAGTAATATCCACCCAGGCCGTTTTGAGGCATAAGTGAGAAGCGTAATCAAGGCACCCAGCAGTCATGCTCATGGCACAGAATGGAGATGTTCATACTGGTTTCTTTCCCTTTTTTCTAACCTCACAGTCCTGTTTTAGGGATGTTCCAGGGAATGGTTACCACTGAGGATAATGGGGGCAAATCCACAAGTCAGAGAAGTTTGGAGCTGAAGAGATCCGGTCACTTAAACCCCTGACAGCCTGCAGCGGGGCGGCCACTCTTTCCACCCTGGGCGCTCATCAGGGCAGGCCCCATTCCCCTCCCCTCGGGCCAGTGGGGAAACTGAAGCCCTGGCTTGCCTCAGGCTACACAAGAGGTGCAAGGACCCGGAGAGAAGGGCCCCTGCCTTGCCTGAGTTGGGCTTTGCTAAGGTTCCCTTGCCCAAGCTCTGAGCCTGCAGGAGGCTGGAAGCACAGTGGGAGCAGAGGGATGCACAAGCTGGTGCAGGGGTCCGCTGCTCACCCTGGCCCCCACTCGGGTGCTTGGTGTTGCTCCTGATGTTAGAGGCTTGAGGACAGAGAGTGGCAAGAAGGCAAGGGGCAAGAAGGGCTGGGAGCTGCCCCTTCTCAGTGGCAGCAGGGCTGTGGAGGGTGGGGGATGACAGGATGGCAGGGCAGGTTCTGGGGCTGCAGCCAGTCTTGGCTTGCAGAGATTGCACACACAGCTCACGGCCATCTTCCCTCCCTCCCCTGCCAGGGCTCGGAGGAGCTGGAGGTAGAGTTCCAGCTGGCAGAGAGGTGAGTAGACACAGCCCCGGATGGCCACGGTCCTGACCTCCAAGTGGCTCTCTGCTTTTTTCTGTTCTCCCCCTCCAGTCTCACTCCAGCACCCATACTGGGCCCCATAGTAAGCTCTAGCTCTAGTCGAAGGTGGGTGTGGGCCCCACCTCTGCTCCCCAAGTGTACCCATCAACGTGCTTTAAAGATCCAGTCCCCTGCATTCCTGAGAATGGCCTCTGGGAAGAATTCCTCTCAAGACAGGATGGGGGCCTTAAGGGCCAGTGAGGAAGAAATCAAAACATCAGCGGTGGGGATTTAGTTCAGCGGTGCTACACCTGCCTTGAAAGCACAAGGTCCTGAGTTCAATCCCTCCCAAGAGACAGAGAGAGAGAGAGAGAGAGAGAGAGAGAGAGAGAGAGAGAGAGAGAGAGAGAGAGAGAGAGAG